TTGGTACATGATTTTAAGGATGGAATCAGAATCACGTGCTGACACTTTTTCGCAATGGCTATGATATTATAGTGCGCTCACTTAGTCTGAAAATTTTGCAGATCATGACTTATATATAAAGTCGAAAAATGCTGAAATTTTTAAAAAATGCATTATTTAAAATTGTATCTTCTCAATAAAAATAAAAATAAAGATAAAATACATTACTTGCTCAACTCGGTTGACACTTTTGGTCCGCAGCATTTTTATTGAGTAACCCGAGGTAGAAACAATCGACCAACCAATCAGGATTCACTAGTTACACGACCCGAGTCAAACCGGGGTTAAGTGCAAGCGAGTTAATCGGTTGGGATTTTTTGATCGGCTGGATCCCTAGCTCGCTAGATTTTGTTCACCTTTTTGTACATGAACATACATGTATATCCGAAAATCTCTTCTTTCTAAGTACGTATGTATTAAGCTTATTTGGTAACAGTAATCTTATCGATCTTACTCTAACGCAAAACTCACAAAAATTACATATCGATATATAGCGATAGCAGATTTTTTCTATCGATATAGAATCTCCAATGAATCATTAGCGCCATTTTTTTTATCATATATTGCTAGAAAGTCATTATGCTTACGTCATGCAACTCCTAACTCAATTCTCAATAATATTAATTATTTGTTGCAAAACTTAAATTTAGTCAGAATTTCGAATCTGCTAGATGACTGGAGCTATAATTCTGGCACAATAGATGCAGATATTGTTTTTGGTCAGAAACCATGTGAAAATCCGGATTCATAGCAAATAGCAAGAAAACAACATTGATGGTAAAAATTGCATCATTAAAAACTCTCCTGACGTGAACCTATTTTAGGCGCTGTTTTCATAACTTTATCAAAAAGTTAAGAATTCAAGTCGCAGGAACAAATTTCCTTTTAAATTTTCTTAAACTTCTATCAACGATAAATCTTTTAAATCTTATATTCTTTAAAATTACTCGTGTGTGTGTTTATTAACTTGTGTATTACATTTATGTTTTCCTTACATAACTTCATCCACATCCCTTCTTTTACTTAATTGCCAGCCCTCTCCATTTTAAATATATATTTATAATAATATTTCTTAACATCTTCTAATACCATCAAAAAAAAAATGTTCGTCTCAATACCCACACCTCGATCGCCTTTTTTTTTTGCCGAATCCCTTTAACCTATTAACTCCTTTAACCTATTAACTGATTAATTCTCATATTTAACGATTGAAAACCAATGGTGCGAAAGTCAATATACCGTATTGTTAAATTTTCGTATTATGAAAAGCTTATTTTTATATTTCGGAATATTTTGCGCTAAGGTGGTCTGTTACAAAAATTTCGAGGGACCGGATCCTTAGGGAAAGGTAATTGTGGTTCCCCTTCTGGTTTGTGGAGTAGTCGTCAGCAAATAAAGCTTATCCACAATATTTTCGAGAGGTTTATTAAATTTGTCTTGCGTAGAAAATAAAATTATGTTATGTTTGATAGAATTTATTCCATCAAATTTGCCTTAACTTGTGTAGAATAATAATTATGGGGATATATTGTGACTATGTAAAATGCGGCATCTGATAGGACGAATATAAACATTCAAAGTGCCGAGATTATATATGTAAAGACGAAAATTTTTAAAATATTATTCAATTTGGGAAAAATGTTGTGATGAATGAAGCTGGTCGACCACGTCGATATGGTGAACAAAGGAAAAGGAGTGTACGGTGGCCATACCAGTCATAGACATTAAGAAATATTTACGAATGGATTCTTTTCTGGAGAAGTGGAAGTGTTTCTTTAATATCGAAAAAAAATTAAATGAGCCGGTGCTAAAATTTGAGCGTTCCGCGTGAAGATATTTTTCGCTCGTGCTTTGATGCAAAAAACAGCCTTTAATTATAACTAAAGAGGAAACAATTGAAACGCAAGAAAGATATCACTATTGCTCTTTGTCGTAATCGGTATGTTTAAGATGATCATTTCTTGCTTTGGATTGTTATATACAGTATCCAGTCACACGCATACGTAATTTAAATGCATTTTTTAGCGCCTACCGCTATTTCAAAAGTATGCATTAAGAGAAACATGACTATATACATAATAACAATTGTATAAAATCACACCTTTATTAATGCGTACTCTTGAAACTGGCACTAAAATGCATTTAAAGGAGCATGCATTTAGAGGGATGTACATGTATACATGTACTGTATATACAATAGATGTCTGAATCTATTGCTATTTTGTAATTCTGGATTAATCGATTAATGTGCATCTAACTGTATTTGTTAATGTACGTATAAGCAGGTTTCTTTTATTAATGAGACCATTGTTCAAAGCGTTTGTCCTACCGATCGAATTTTAACAATGGAGTGAATGAAGATGCCATCAATTTCTTAATACTGACGCAGAAGGTATTCAGGTTTTTTTTAAAAAAACTGTTGTTTATTATAACGTAGATTTCAAATTTGGTAATTTCATGTATAAGCAACCACTTGTCTATTTTTCTTTACAACCAGCGAATCGAACCCATCAATATGTAAGCTTGTTGAATTCGTCTCATTGTGACGAATAGTTTGGTGATTGTTTTGTCTGAATCTAAGTGATATTCATTGCGTTTAAAAGTTTGTTCTTTCAAAATCAGGGTTGCTTATACATGTAATCGGTAATCGGAATATAGTTTTGATTAAGTGTATTTATTAAAAATTAAGTGACAAAGAATAATCCAACAATTACTCTTAAAATTCATTTGTATTAAACATAGCTAGTCTCGAAATGGATCTGATTACTTAAAGATAAGAACATTTTATATGCAAGTTAATAAAAATGGTCTAAACTACAAGAATGACTTACGCAAGCCTTTCAACCGAAATAAAAAAAAAACGTCCTAAAACTAGTGTTTTGGACATGGAGTAAAAATTACGCTCGCATATTTCCGTAGATACCCAGGTCTCAAGGGGGGATATTCTGTTATAGGAGGATTTTCATACACTTGTACAGTAATTGAAATACAATGCGCGCTATAAAAGCGATATGTACTTACAATAATTGAAATACATGTACAACGAATAGACTCGGTCAGAATTGATAAATCCGAAATTATCGGTTTATTTGATAAAAATATTTCTTTTTATATTGGGTTTCAAGTAATCACGAAATTTTTTTACAGTTAATGCTTTAGTTTCAATAAAAAAATTCCTTTGTTTAAATTTAACAAAATATTGATTGCGTAACGCAATTTTTGTAGTAACGCTTTGCAACAAAGAATCTTCTCAAACCTTTCGAATGAGCTAATCTGAAATTTATGAAATTGCGATAGGATTTTTTTCCTGTAAACAATAAAGTAAAGCTTGTGATCATTTACTATGGAATTTTCTAAAAAAAAAAAATATGATTGTCTTTACCGTTACAAGTGCATATACATGTACATATATTACCCCAGCCGGAAAACGCAAATTTTTGATCACACCCGGTAGACAAATCCGAATAAAACGAGAACGGCTGTCTTTGATACGTAATGCATGAGTGACGATTTTCATATACATGCACATACATACACTAAAATATATCCGACCTACATTTTTTGTGGATGACGCTGATAAAGTCGTCTTTACATGACTTAAATAACTTTGCCATTTTGGAGCTAAAAATAGATTTATAGATAAATCAAGTAGGATCAAGTAACAATTGAATGTCCCTTTGAATATCAAATTATTTGTCAAATTTGAGTGTGTGGTGCTTACTCTTGATTCGACTGAAAAGTTTACTAATAAAAAATGGTTTCGGGATTATTATAAGTAACTTGGTCGGATGGACTATAGAAGAGTAACATAATTAAAGCCAAGTTGTATCAAAATTCAAGGCAGACTACATTATTAGACAGCTATCGTCATTTCTCTTATATAAAAAGAAAATACCACAAACTTCTATTTAGATAGAACAAAGTTATCTATGGGATAATTTAAAGTGGGTTTATTTAGAAAGTCTCGAAAGAAGAATACGCATGTACGTAGTGGTAATGAGAACATGATTATGTCCAATGATTTTCGCTAACGCTAACAAAATCGATTTAAAATAAACGATAACCGGTTTATGCATATTCAAACCGATTTGTAAAAAGAAGCCTCATTTTATTTAGATTTGCATTTTTTTTACCGTTACAACATTTTGTTTCAATGATGTCATAAGCAAAACGGTTTAATAAATAAAATGCATGTGATCTAATTTATACGTACCGGTACGTAGTTTTATGATGAATTAGTTATTCCTCAATATTTAATTTTTTCGCCGTAGTCATCACTGTACCTTAGAACAATTTGAATTTAACTTTGATTGGATTAAAAAAACAATTTGCTTACATTTTGTTTATAAAATTCAATGTAATTTGCTTTAAATCATCTAATGATGATTTAAATACAACTTCGCGTTCACCGTATCTTTTCACTTTTATTGTGAAACAATGCTTTATAAATTGTTCCAAGACCTTCGTTCGTAAGATATTCAACATTAGTAAATCTTTCAAAAGGGATCCATTCAAAAGCTCCAATTTTCGCACATTCTTTTATTAGATCGTTATTATCTTTATTTTCGCTAGATATTGTTTGATAAGTTAATTTCGGCCGAGGAATAACAAAAAATTTTTCATTGTCATTTATTATCGTCTTTTCGTTTCTATTTTGTCCATTCAATCAATTTCTTTGTCAATAGTTGTAAATTACAATGCCGATTTCTATTGGTGGGATAGTCTGTCTGTCCTACCAGATGATAGTCACACTTATACGTAATTACGTAGATTATGACAACAGAAATAAATGATGTCATCGTAATACATGAACAATTAAAGCTGCGTTGACCGGAAGAGTAAGTAAAGTAAAAATTTACTCGAAAACTTTATAAATGAATGGTTTAGTTTTTTTGTCTGGTTTAAACTAAGGAAACCATTTCTCAATTTGCTTTATTCACAAATTAACTGTACTGTTCAAAATGTCTAATTCCGTCGTCAGCACTAATTACGATTATCTAAACTATAATGATTTGATAATCTTAAGTAAATACCTTTACCAGTTAACTCTTTCTATTGAAGAATTAACTAAACCAGCTGTGAAAAAAAGTGGTAATTCTGATAAACCGCCACGACCACAAAACAGTTGGATAATTTTTCGACGAGATTATGAAGCGTATTTACGTTTACGCAGTCAACAAGTCAAACTAAAAATCAAAGAAACAGCAAAGGAATGCAGTTTAAAGTGGCGAAAGCTATCAAGCGAGGTTAAGTGTTTCTTTAAAGTATTAGAGAAGATAGCTTTTGAGAATCACAAAAGCTTATATCCTAATTATAAGTATAAGCCTAAAAATGAGAAAGTTGCAAACATTAAGAAATGGATTTTTCGCGAACAAAAGGGATACGCATTTGTTTCGCTACCCACATCTAACTCGTCCTCTTTCAATGATACAACATCAACGATTGAATATAATCCTACTGTTATCACCGCTTCAACAACTATTGATGATACTCATCCTTTTATGATCCATAATAATATTGACGTTACTGCTACTGATGATATTTATGAATCTCTTTTCGACGAATCGTTTAATATCAATAATCATAATAATGTCTCAATTAACAATTCTTCACCATACCAATTCATCACTAATAATCCAATAACACCATCGATGTCTTCACCCTTGTCAGAATCGCAGTCACTTTCACAACTATTTATCCCAGAATATGATTTATTAAATTTCAGTTTTGAAAATTTGTTATATGGTATATAATGTACAAATAAATCGATACATATATAGATTCCTCGACAATTGTATGTTTATTAGTTTATTGTATTTGTTTTTCTTTAGCTGATTTAATAAATACCAGTCGTCAAATTTACCGACATCTCTACTTTATCTTAACCGGAAATTTTCACCTCTTTTTAGTTCAATTGTTCGTATTTGTAATAGTGATCGTAACCATTTAGCGGCTGGCGTACTAGCCAGCCGGCTTTGTAAATTTGACAGTTAATCACCTTGAATGGATGGCTGATCTGATAAAAAAGAAATTTCAAAAATGTAATAAATGTGCACAGCCAGTGGCTTCAGCATCTAAATGGATAGTAGATAGCAGAGCTGGCTCGAGACTCGTCAGTAGCTAGCCCAGCCAGTCTCTAATTTTAGGTGGTTCGAACACTAATTTGTAATTTAGAATTTTGCAAAAGATATTATTATTCTGTTATCAACGCTAAGTAGCGATACACATACATGTATAACTAAAGTCAGTTTCACAAACATCAAGCTATTTGTAGGCATCTTGCATGTATGTTTTCATTTCTGAAACTTTATTGGATCCAGCTTCCGCAATTTCTCCAACTAAAATATAATTTTTAACAATTTCGGTAGATATGCTTAGATTTTCCGCATTGAGCAATCGCGAGCTCTGATTCGCAGTACTTTCGAACCAGTATTTACTTTTCGATATATTTTTGTTTATTCAAAATTCTAAATAAATGACGTCTTTAGTCGACTAATTGATTCTCCGTGCTCGGTTTAAGGTATCATTCAAATACCGTTCTATATATATTGTCCCGGATTCGCATACATTAAAAAACCTATCAATACAAGTATTTTGAGCTGCTCATGTTATTTTCGTTGAATCTTGAGTGACTAGCTGTTCGGTATGTATTAAAGCTTTTCTCCTTGCGTAGAAGCTGCGAGTTTATCTGTTACTCGACTTTATAGTTCACCTCGAATACAAGAATCAACAAACTTTCAAATTTTGCTCAAGACTTGGCTTTTTTATTCATAACTTGTAGCATATTTCGAGGAAAAGTGCTTAAAATGTTTTCGACGCTAAATTTTACCTTTCTAATTATTCAAACCACAAAGCAGTATCCCTGAACTACGTACAAATGCGATTCTGAAATTTATTACGTACCAGAATTTCATATGCTACACAATTCATATTACAAAATTTTACTTCAAATTCAAAATACATGTACATGTACAGCTGATGTACTTATAGATTGTAATCGCATTTTCGAATTTTTTGTCTAAAGTCTTGGCCAAAGCACTCAAAGATCCTTTAAATAAAGTTGTTTCCTGGGTCTCCGCGAACAAAACAATAAACAGAATGTGGAAAAATGATGTCTCCCTATAGAATACAACATCTTTGAAATAGGCGTCCATTTCGTCTACTTTTGGCTAGATTCTTCTCCAGTTCGCAAATTCTTGCTATGAAAATTGGTTCACCAATTGCGCCTAAACAAGAGCATTTGACGAAGTTTTACCTCGAGGGGGTGATATATTATAAAAGGGCAAAGAAAATCAAGAAAACCTGTTTTTTTTTTACTATGTAAATCACTCCATTAACTTATTCGATATGAGAGGGACTTGTCATTAGTGCAATTTTTATGATAGAGAATATGTCATTATTAGTCAATTCCAGGTTAGTTGGTTTTAAGTTATATGAGCAAAAAAAATATTTTTTAATTTGATTGAGGCCATAATAATATTTATGAAACTTCTTTAACCAAGCAACTTGATGCATTGTCATATTATATGCAAAATTTAAAAAGAAATATCATTCAAGTAGAGAGACAACTACCAGTCTCGAGAAGGATTTTAAAAAATTTATGATGTTGTTGTCATTGGTTGAAATTTTGAGCATTGAAAATACGTACGTATGAAATTATCAAATTTTTATATACGATCTATTTTATGCTTTATGAAATACAAATGAAGATACTATAAGCGGTACTATTTAAGCTATTAACTAAATGCAGAAAAAATAAAATTAAACTTTACAAAGTAGTAGAAATTATGAATTAGGATACTAAATTAAATACTATTATTAATAGTTTATAGAAAAGATAATGAGATGTTAAAAGAGAACAAGCCCATTTTACAATAAAAATAATTTTTTTCCAACATACTATTTTTTTATTCCATCTTCAAAATACTGACCAAGACATTTACGTTTCCGCTCGAATGCTTTCTCTCATTCTGTGCTCCGATTCCATTTGATAACAATAACCAAGATTACATTGTTCTCCAACATATCTACTCCGTTGATTTCAAGCACCACTCAAATGCTTTTTTATTGTCTTTTTGAGTACTTACATCTTCTTCATAACAATAACCACGATTACATTATCCACCAGCATTTCCATTCTCTGCTGATTTCAAATACATCTTAAATGTTTTTTATTATCATTTTGTTACGAATTCATTTCGATATAGCGCAGGAGCCCTTAAATCGACAATATGTTTCATGTTTAACTTCTTAACTAAGAAATAAATACAAAATTTAACCAGTAATATTATCAAAAAATTTCTTTCTATAATATTACCGTTTAAATTTTGCATTTACTTCTTAGTTAAGAAGTTAAACTTGAAACATATTGTCGATTCAAGAGCTTCTGTACCATAACAAGCACCAAGGTAACATTTCCACCTACAGCGGATTTCAAATTCCATTCAGACACCAATTTTTTATCTTTGAAATATTTATCCCATATTGATAAAAATCCTAGTAGTGTTCTTAAGTTATTTTTATTTTGATGATTGTATAAAATAAAGATTAATTGTACATTATCACAAGTATATGTGAAAATGCCGCCATATATATTCGGAATTCAGTTTTTTAAGTAGAATTTCATAAAAATTTATTTAAAACTTATGAAATTCTATAATATATTATATAAAATTTGTCTGATAGTACAAGTAACTTAACTTAATAAAATTTGTGTAATTTTTATTAAAGATTACAAATTGGAATCAAAAATTAAGATGAATAAAAAGATTCTAAAACATATTTTATTAATCAATTTTGCAATTATTTTTAAGAAAATATATTTTTATACCTCAAAAAATATATATTTAAATTTTCAATTAAATCTACTTCATAATTATGAAATAATACTCAATTAAAAAAAAATATAATTTTGTAAAAAATAATAAACTTCAAAAAAAAATTCAATTTTTACTATTTTTTATTTAAAAATTTAACAAAATTATATCTTTCTTTAATTGAGTATTATTTCATAATTATGAAGTAGATTTAATTGAAAATTTTAATATATATTCTTTATAATAAATTATATAATTTAATCGATATTTATTACAAATATTACTAAAATCAGCAATCTTAAAATAATTAAATATTAAACTTAATAATGATAATAATTATAATTCAATCAAAACAAATATTATCTTTTAGAATTTTGAAAAAGGTCTAATTTAGTTTGAATTTGATTTAGTTCGAGCTTGATTTAGTTTGAGCTTGAATTTGATCAAAAGTCTAATTCAAAAATTCAAATTCAACTAAAAATCTAGTCAAACTTTAAATTAAACTTAAATCTAATCAAAAATCCAGTTTAAGTTTAAGTTTAAGTTAATATTCAAAAAGTTTCTAAATAAACTTTTAAATTATATTTAGATTTACAAATTAATAATATTCAAAAAGTTATATAGATTTTAATTTTATAATTTTAATTTATTTTGGTAATATTATAGTAAAAATTTATTTTTGAATAAAAATTATAATATAAAATTGTAATCAATAATATAAGCTATAAATTAATATAAAATAATATATATTAATAATAAATTTTTAAAAAGTTATATAATTTTTGATAAAATTTAATAAATATAAAAATAAAAATATTTTAATTATTACTAAGTAAACTTTTAATTCTTAATAATTATTATAGTTTAAGTTTAGAGTTACAAATTAATTATAATATTATATACTAATTTTAATTCAAATTCAAATTCAAATTCAAATCAAATTTAATCTTATATAATAATTTAATTCAAATTTAGTTCAAACTTTAAATCTTTTTAAGTTAATTTGAGTTTAATTTACTTAGTTTATATTAATAAATAATAATAATATAATAATTTCTTGTTTCAAATTTAATTATTATTAATATTTTATATATATTAAATTCAATTCAATTAATATAATTTTATTTATATTAATAAATATCTATTTAATAAATAAAATTATTATTATAACTAAATCAAGTAATTTAATAATATTAAATATTCTATTTTTAAAAATTCAAACTAAAATAAAGATATTTTATTTGTTTTGACTACTTGATTTATTTTATATAATATTTTGTATATTTTAATAATTAATATTATTATTATAATAGTAATATAAAATTTCCAAATTTAAATCTAATAAAAAAATATAAGATATTCAAAAATATTTGTATAATTGCAAAAATTTCTTGCAAAGAATAGTTTATTTTTTCACTTTTTATATAGTTAATTTTTCATTTTTTTATATAATTAAATATTTTACTTATTTATTTTTCTTTAGTTTTTCACTTTTTATTTTTTTGCATTATGAAAAATATATAAATTAAGATATTATTTAAGTCTTAACTTAATATATTATAAATAAAAAATAAAATTATTACTTAATAAAAGTCTTTTATTAAATAATACTTATTTTTTTAACTATATATATCAAAACTTGTATATAAATAACTTTGAATTATATTATATTAAACAAAATGCTATTATTAAAATTATTAACTTTGAATTATATCATACTAAACAAAAGCTATTATTAGATTATTAATATTGAATTATATTTTATCCAATAGAATATTATTATTAAATTTTTAATTAATAAATAAGTATTTTAATTTTTGTTAATTTAATATTTTTTATCTGTTAAAAAAAATAAAAAAGTAAAAAAGTTTTTGCTATATTATTATTACTAATTGAATTATTTTAGCTCTAAAAAGTTTTATATAAGTACAAAAAAT